AAGAATAAGGCATAGGCCGATGATTGGGCCGACTGTCTATCGATACCAAACCATTGTCGGGTGCAAGGAGAGAGATGCGCTGACATATATATATATAATATGTATATATACTTCTGTGTATTGAAGGTCGCACTTTTAGAGTGTGTGTACTTACAGTTCAATCCTCATCTCTGCGGGTTTAAGTTAGAGAGTGAGACCGTGGCGTAGGCGGGCGTTAGAAGGGTGCGAGTGAAGGGGGGGTCTATGCATTGGTGAGCTCATGGCTGTACCTATACCAATAGTAATCTGACTTCATGGTAGTATTCCATTCTGGCTGAGATTGTTCATGTGCATATGTTCGTCTTGTAGGGTGCGTGCATGTTGTTGAGTGAGTGTGTCTTGCCGAGTGTGCACATGTACGTGTTTTTGTGTGATTTCCTGTTGATCTTGCAGTGTAGTGAATCTGTGCACTGGAAGCCCGCACTTGGGGTAAACTGCTGCTGGCTTTATTCAAACCTTTTATTCTATTACATACCTGGTAGCTATAACATACCTGGTAGCTATAACATACATAGTAGCAATTCTCCCCAATAGTGTATTATTGTGTCTTCAATACAAATATGATACAATTTTCATATCAATATAAGCACCCGTACATTTACAATTATGCATATACTTTGATGTACGGTTAATAGTTGCTCTGCATATGTTTCATGGGCTTCTAAACCTTTATAATCCTACACATATCACCTTATATTCCTACCCATATCACCTGGTATTTCCATCGCTATTTCGTTGGTGCATTCCGAAATAGTATTCATAAGCCCTTATATGGACAAACTTCGAATGCAAGTGCGTCGACTATGTGCTCATTCGCAGAACATCTATCATCATCAGTGTTGCGCGATATAAACATTGCCCTCATTTTACCTTTTCATTATCATATGGATACTTATTTGTCGATTGAAAGTATATCATGCGCTTTGTGATGTAGTGACACATGCTATTGTGACACATTGATCGTACGTCGCTTAAGTTTGCTAAACAGTTTGTACCTATAGGTATTGAGGTAAGCGGTGTTTTGAGGCATGTCTGTATATCTGTGCTGGGCGAGATGGCATCCTCGTCACAAGTGGAATATGCTGCTGCCCCTATCGTTTGATTGTTTCAATTGGGAGTGGGACCAGGGTGGTCAGAATGTGACTACTCTAGTGCACACACAAGCGCACATTCTAGCAAACACTTCAAAGAATACGCGCACATAACTTGCAGTTATCGAACTTACAAGTCGTTGGATCACTCACCCACATACCAACAACCTACCCAAATTGGTGCATATAGACGAGCCAATAGACCGCACAGCCACACGTCGATAATTACCCAAGTCGATACACAGACAAATTAGAGTCACATCTGTAGTTGAATCACTCGCTCATATGTTAACAACCGCCCGAATCAATACACATATACAAGCCATAGTGTTTGGGAGTCACATTTGGCAGTTGACTTAGTGCTGTTACTAGTGCCTGGAGGAACGCCCCACATTTTGTTTGTATTTTCACGTCTGTCACAGGTGATTCGGGACCCGAAGATACGCGTATTCTTCCCAATGTGTTTACGTATTATGCGTTCATTGTGCGCTACGCCGAGTCCAAGAATTGGCGGAAAGCCTTGGACACTTACCGCAGTATTCCTGAAACGATTCCAATGGTACGGTCTACGCATTCATTTGTATTGGATATGCTATCACGCAGGAAAGAGCTTCGGCTGATGGAGGAGGTAAGCTTGCTGATATATATATATGTATTTATAGATCTATATATATATATATATATACATACATATACATACACACACACACACACACACACACAACACACACACACACACACACACACACACACACACACACACACACACACACACACACACACACACACAC